CCAGAGAGGACAGATCAGTGATCACAGCCTGGACACAGAAACTGGACACAGACAGACCCAACTGTCCAGAGAGAGTGACCACAGCCAGCAGGGAGACATGCACTTTCTGCTGCACTTTGAGAACTACTCTGGGATTAGACGAGCATTCTTCCCTAAAATAATTAATCTTATCCCAGAATTCCCACACTTGAGCAACTTCCCATCCTACTGGGGAACGAAAATCATTATTGCTGCAGCTCAGTATGTGATCTCCTGTCACAAAACAGGGAGTGAGGGAGTGTCTCAAATACAAATATTTTGTCATTCTTGTATATGTTTATTGTTACTTCTTTGGCAATGCTGTAGTTCAGTCAATGATTTTGAAATGTGAATTTGTGTTTGCTGTGTAGCATCAGTGAAAGGAATGTGTGGGTGTGTCATCTCAGTGTGTATTCTGGGTGTGTGGTGTGTGGAGGTAGTAGTGTTTGCCTTTTCGGATGTTTACTGGAAACGGGGTCTTCACACAGAGCGGGGAGGAGAGAGAAAGGGGAGGAGGGCTGGAGAGAGAAGGAGGGAGGGGACTGGAGAGGGAGGAGAGGAGAGGTCTACTTGGAAAAGAGAGAGTTGAAGCAGCTGTAGATCACTCATCCCTCCCGAAAGAGAGAGGCAAGAAACTGAAAGACAGGCAGAGTGGAAAAGAGAGAGAGCCACTCTCAGTGCGGTCTTTCTGAAACACACCAACGGGATATAGGAGAGAAAACAAGCAGAAGAAAACAGAGATCACATCTGTGAGAGGGAGAAGTCCCAGTTTTCCAGGACTCATTGAATGAAGGTAAGAAAAGACCAGTTCTTTACTCACTGGGTCTTCGATTTCTCTGCAGAGATCAGATGATGATGGTGATAATGATGAAAGGGTCATATGGTAAAATAAAGTTTCTGATGAACTAGATTACATTTGTGCGTCCTCTGCAATAAATGTTGTGATATCCTGCAGATCTAGAATAGAGATTCTCTCAAAAGGTTTAATAGTAAATGCTGGATTGCTTGCTTGAAGTCAGGAAGGATCTAGTCTAAGATCTGCCGATGAGCGTACAGAGTAATTTCTCCTGGTTTCCCTGTGTGCCCATTTAAAAAAAAATGTGATGGAGTCTGTTAAGGATGCACAGTGTCTGCATTGGGACATGGAGAATTAGTTTGAAGAAATCTAGACATTCTTGTAGTATTCTCTGCACACACTTCAGAAAAAAGGTGGATTTCTTTTTCTTTTCCGAACCCAGATTTAAATAGCAAAAGTGGTTCCTGTGGGGCCTCCAGTCTCTGATTTGCTTTCCTGTTTCTTGCTAATCAGGGCAGAGGAAGAGCTGGAGAGATGGGAGGATGAGCGAGAGGGGGCAGGAAAAGGGCACGAGGGAGTCTGGGATGCGGAGAGGAAGAGGCAGAGGGAAAGAGGAGCGAAATAGCCGGACCGGCTCGCACGCACAGCAGCGCTGACTCAGCGGGTGGTAATCAGAGCCCAACAGACCCCCCCCGGACAGAGAGTCATCCCAGCTAGACACGGACACAGCGGGGGCGCCACCTGCCCACACAGAAGAGCTCCCACACCTCACCCGAGCGCCATGGCGGCCTCTGCCCCTGCCCCTGGCCTGGCCCTGCCCACCCCCTCCCCCTCCCCGTCTGCCATGGCCCTGTGCGACTACAGCGAGTGGAGCCCCACCTGGGTCCTCATCCCCCTGGTCTACCTGCTGGCCTTCGTCCTGGGCTCCCTGGGGAACGCGCTGGTCCTGTGGCTGTACCTGGGATGTTCGGTGCCCCGGCTCCGCCGGGCCTGCCCCGTTCTCCCGCGGGTGCCCCCCCCTTCCTCCTCCTCCTCCTCCTCTTCCTCCTCGCCCGCCCCCTCCCGGCCGGGCCGCTCCCTGACGGACTCCCTCATCGCCAGCCTGGCGGCGGCCGACCTGGCCTTCGTGGCCACCCTGCCGCTGTGGGCGGCCTACACCGCCCAGGGCTACCACTGGCCGTTCGGGCGGCCGCTCTGCAAGCTCAGCAGCTACCTGGTGGCCCTCAACATGTACGCCAGCGTCTTCTCGCTCACCGGCCTCAGCGTGGAGCGCTACTGGGTGGTGGCGGGGCGGGGCGCGGGGG